TTGCTTTTCTTTTTTTGCTTTTTGCTTTTTTCTCCTTTTTTTTGTTTGTTCCTTTATTTCCTACTTCTTTTCACATTTTTTTCAACCACAGAGCAGCAGACACGTGAGCGGTGCGCTCTTGTCCAGGGAGCATCAGCCCTGTGAGCAGCCGGCCTTGAGCCTAAGAGGAGTAGCCTCATGTGGCCTGCCCCTGTCCAAGGAGCAGTAGCTGTGTGAGCGGCCCGCTTCCCCTTCCGAGGAGGAGCAACCACGCGAGCAGTTCAACCTGTCCAAGGAGCAGCAGCCGCATGAGCAGACTTCCTACGTATGAGGAGTGGCAGCCCTGCACAGTCTGCCCCCATCCGAGGAGCAGCAGCTGCACAAGCATCTTGCCCTCGTCCAAGCAGCAGCAGCCACACGAGCAGCCTGCCCAATCCGAGGAGCAGCAGTTCTGCGAGTGGCCCGGACCCATTCGAGCAGCAGCAGAGCCCACACCCGGTCCGAGGAACAGCAGCCACACGAGCAGACCACCCAAGTCTGAGGAGCGGCAGCACTGCGCAGCACACACCAGTCCGAGGAGCAGAGCCACAACAGCCTGCACCTGTCCGACGAGCAGCAGCTGGGTGAGTGGCACGTGCCCATCTGAGGAGGAGCAGCCACATGTGCAGCTCACTCCCATCCAAACAGCGGCAGCCTCGCAAGCAGTCCACCCCCGTCCGAGGAGCAGCATACTTGCAATCAACCAGTCCAAGTCCTAGGAGCAGTAGCCCCACAAGCAGCCCACCTCATCAGAGAAACAACAGCAGTGTGCATGCAGCCCCCATCCAAGGATCAGCAGCCACGTGAGCAGTCCGCCCAAGTTCAAGGAGTAGCAGCTGCATGTGTAGACTGCCCCCATTCAAGAAACAGCAGCCTCGTGATCAGCACACCCTCTGTCTGAGGAACATCAGGTGTATGAGAAGCCTCTCCCCAACAGCCAGAGGAGCCATCACAGCTGTGAACAGCACCTACCAGAGGAGCTGCTGCCAACTGATGAGCAGCTGCTAGCAACCACAGCCCGAGGAGCCACTGCCACCCAAGGAACAGCCCCTGAATGACTCAACATCTAGATATGTCGGTGAGATAAAACATGGGTAGACAAAGAAACCCCCAAAGGAAAGAAAAGGAGGACTCATCAGATAAGTAGCTAAGTGAAACAGAGGCCTTCAGCATGACAGAAAAAGAATTCAGATTGAGGATCCTAGAATGCATAAACACGATGGAGGAAAAAATCAACAAGTTATGCAATAATCAAGAAGAAACGGATGAAAAAAATCAACAACTTATGTAAGAATCAAAAGAAACAGATGAAAAATTAATAAATTATGTAAGAACCAAGAAGAAATGAAGAGTGATATAGCTGCAATAAAAAACACCATTGAAAGTTTCAACAGGAGACTAGGAAAAGCAGAGGACCAAATTACCGAATTAGAAGACAGGGAAGCAAAACACACCCAAACTGAACTGCAATTGGAGAAAAATAG